ATGACCTTCTGAGGTACTATCTACTCCTGGTTGTCTGTGATTCTAAGTATTCAGGAAAGCAGGCAGGATTCATGAGTTCATGCATAAATGGTTACTATAGAGCAGAACCAAGTTCTGGAAAAGCCTGCTAAGATCAACTGCCCGCTGCTATTGTAGACCATAGAAAAACAGAAATTGATTCAGAAGCAGTGTTATAAAGGCCAAGGGTGATCAACTTCACCCATCACTTAGCCCCATGTGAAGGGCTTAAGGCAGTGATGGTCAACGTATGGCCCAAAGGCCTGGTCCAGCCCCCAAAGTGACAGGATTCAGCCCATTTCACAGGGGATCAGCAAATAGCTTGGCCCAACCTGTCCCCTTCCCTTCCTTGCCTTGCGCTGTGTTGCTGATCTCCCCACTCCACCAGCCCAGAGCTAAACTCCCTTCTGCTCTCCCTCCCCTCCACCCCTCTCTCTTCTGACACTGGCAGCTATCTCCCTTCCTCAACCCTACTGGAGGCAAGCAGCAGGGCTGCTGTTTTAAAAGGATGAGCTCCAGTGACTTCTAAGGAGTTTGTAGAGCCAGAGATGAGCCTGAAACTTTGGGGAATTTATCTGTAGAGAGGACAATGTAAAGGAATAGAACATACTTTATCTTCTGCTTTTAAAAGAGATGAAGCCCCTTGCACGGGAACAGCACACACAAAAAGAGGGCACTCGAACCATCCTGGATGTGTGGACAGGATTCTTGCCTATTTTAACAAGGCAGATAAATCCTCTACATTTTACTGAGGCATGCCTTCAGAAATCAAATTCCCAGCCAATGCAAACTTCGATAGAAAGTCCGCCTGGAAGAGAATGCATGAGCATTACCTCAGTCATCCTCCTGTGGAAATGAATGAAGCTTGCTATTACTGTCAGTGGGAACAGGATCAGTAGCTAGTGTTTACCTAATGAGATCCCTGCACCCAACCACCCTACAAACACAACTGTTTTGTATCCCTCAGGCTGTTCTGCATGCAGCATTTGCAGTTTTAGATTATGCTACCATCTATGTAGTTAGCTTTTTGCCTCACAGCCATGACTGAACTGTGTCTGGCTAGCACCTAGCATACAGCCTAACCCTGTTGTATCAGTGCATCCTAGGACAAGGATGCTGTTCAAACAACAGAGAGCCTAATTGTGCAAATGGCACCCTCAGCTACCCTTAACTTCAGTAGGAGCTGTGAGTACTCAGCTTCAGACTGGAAGTCCTCAGCTCTTTTCAAGGATGAGCTCCAAATGACAAGACCTTGCCCTGTCCATAAACATGTCAAATGTGATACACAGGCAAGTACATTTAAGTGATTAAATTAATTTTATTTTCCACTTGGGAAGTCAAACAAATGCCAGCAGAGCCAAACGTTCCACTCCATTGATCCATGTGAATTTGGCATATTTTCAAAGTGCTATTTAGTGACACTTTATCATCCTGAATTGCCAATTCAGGTACTGGATACCTTTCTCTTGGGGTGATAGCTTATCTACCTTCCCTTATTGATTCCTCTATTCTGGGCATTTTTCTGAATTCTCAAGGAAATGTTTATCCTCTAACTCTCTAATATCACCTTAAGTTCACCTGGATAATTTTAGAAGACATGTTCACTAAGTAACACCCATCTCCTCTTGCGTTCATATGCTGCACAACATTGATAATTAAGACTCTTGGGAAGTTAACTGAATGGCTCATGACTGACTTCCCTTAAACTCCCTACCATGGAAGCTCAACATGAAAATCTCAGAGGTAATTACCATACTTCCATCCTGGGCTGTATTACTGCAACCTGCCATTAAAGTCAGTATGCATCAAGACATTAATTACTGCATGATATAATGCAGCCACTATCACCACTGTGTAAGCAGTAGGTGCTTATCTGAAGAAATATCACTTCTCATCTGATGAACTGGATAAAACAGTCAGATTGTGTTGACATACTGTACTTAAGTCTACCACACAACATTTATAATTAAGCCACTGGGGAAGTTTGGGTGGGTTGATGCAACAGAAAGAGCATGAATCCAATTTAAGAACAAGCTCTTCACAAGTCTCAAAAACTCTACCTGAACACAAGTTAGAGAAGTCAGATAATGCCCATTTTTGCTATACTCACCTGCAAGGAGTTTGTGGATAGAATAAGAACATCTGATAAATATTCCTTAAACACGTAGATTGTACTTATTTTGATTAATAAATAGATTTCTCTCCCCCCCTCCGACATCCATTGTGTTTGCCTTTCTTGTTCATATAAGAACTCTTCAGGGCAGAGGATTATGTCTTCCTGTGAATGTGAACAGTGCCCAGCAATATGAGGGCACTACTGGAACATGACAGTAACATGGATATGCCTTGTTCTGGAAGGAAAGTGTATCTAATGATTGTAACAGTCATTTACAGTCAGTAACAGTTGGAGTCAGGGCTTTTGGTTTTTCCAGTGACCTCTAGTTAACCTATATATAAAATGATTAAAATAGCAAATAGTTTCTTGCTTCACTGCCTGTTGGGTGATCATTTTAAGAGTAAGAAGAACAATGGGACTTGTAAATGATGGTGTTTCCCATGTTGGAGTGGAAGCAGAAAGATAAACCAGACAATAGGAGATGGAATGAAAAGGTTACAAAATGCATGATGAAAATGGAAGATGCAGTGAGCACCGATGTCATAAAGATCACAAGATTGTATCTGTGAATAAGCTAGAAGTGACCTTTACAACATATTGGATGCCCAGTAGGATGTGTAAAGCTAGAACTTGCTGTCACAGCTGGAGCTGCTGCAAGAGGAGCAGGGGCCTGCTAAATATCTTTCTGTGTACCCTATAACACAATACTTTGGGGGAAAAATAGAGGCTACAGAAATGCAAACTGAATGTACAGGTGTATTGTTATTAATATTAAGATAGCCCCCCAAATATGCTATGTTCTTTGCACCAAACAATCCAGGCTCTGAATTGCACATAAACTGGGGACATAAGCTTTGCAAAAAATCATAGGAAATGTTATTCTAGAAAACATCCATGATAACTGCATGCATTATTTTAAGGCCTCTGAGTCAGATTCTATGCTTACTGACATTCATTTGACACTAGTTTAATTTAATGGCATTAGTCTTGCTTAATACTAGTATAATTGAGATTAAAATAATACAGTGAAACTTTGAAGGAGATTTCATGCCATTAAATTATAAATGAAATGATTTGAATGTTAGATTTGGGGGTATTGATTCTTTGCTTCTGGAAATAAGGAGCCTCAATAATTTCAACTAGAGCCCTGTGTACTAAGGACCTCTGCCTATTACAGCTGGAATAAATTGGACAGTAGCTAAACATAATACATTTTTGTTCTTTGTAGTCTGTTTTTATTTCATAATCATTTGCTATAGTCATTCACGGTTTATTCAAAAGACTTTTTTAATTGTGACACTTTGAATCCCTCTTCTCTGAATGACGGCAGCAATGGGAGTGGGGGAAGGAATTTGGACATTCTTGGCAGGACATTCTTTACTTATATAAAACCCCTCTCCTCTGCGCCTGTATTCAAATAAATAAATGTACTATGACCTGTTCCACTCAGATAAATGTAGGATTTACTGCAATAACCATATTGCAGAGAGAAATCTAAAGCACGATTCAAGTTTGAAACAAGGCTATTATGGTCACTAACTATTTTTCCCTTTATATACCAAGGAATCTTCAGTCACTTCTAATTCTGGGCCAAGTCCTGCTTTTAATAACTCACATAGTCCTATGAAACTCAATAGTACCATTCTCACCAGACAAGAGCTTCCCCTTCAATTTCTACTTTCAACTAAATATTGACAATAAAAAGCTCTTTACCATTTCAGCCACCCTCCAACGCAGCTTTGCTCTCTTTTTTTTGTTTGTTTGCCCCTCCTTCAACAAGAGACCCGCTGTCCTTTATTCAACAAGCCTGGCTTCATTCAAATGACTCTTGGGAAAACAAATTCACTATCTGAATTACCCAAAGAACCTTGTCTGCCTAATTCACTATCTGAGCTTTTCTCAGAAGCTCAGAGTCAGTGCTGGAGGCAAAACCTGGAGCTAAGCAGTACATCCACTGCCTTTAGGAATACTTTCCAGCAAGTGCTCCCAGAGGCGATAAATCACTGCCCGAACACTCAGGTCGGGCTGCCCCTACTCCTGCAAAGCCCTTTGTTTTATTCCAGCGGATTCTTAGCCCTTGTTCAATGCTTCAGTGTCTGAATGAACATAAGAATTGCCATTGACTGAGTCAGACCTTAAGTCCATCTTGCCGGGTTTCCTATGCTCTGGTTTCTCTTCAGATTGCATAAATCTTCTGCCTTTTACTAAAGATTTCCAAAGAGGGAGACAGTCATGAGCCTTGACCCTGTGCAACACGGGCAGAGAGCTGATGCTGATGGGGAGAGTGAACTGGGTGTTTGCCCCCACCATTCCTCTCTCACTCCCAGCCTCGGGGTCTTGGAAACTGAGATTCAGAGGCCGGGCCCCTCACTCCCGGCCCTTTCCTCCAAGCATGCGTCCAAGCACCTGCCGGGAGGATGCCACTTGTGCAAGGTGCTCTCCAGTCCTAGCAAGGGGCTGGGAATGAAAGGTTTGAACCCGCACCGGGCACCCGCACCGGGCACCAGCAAAGCACCAGAGCATCCCCCCGCTCCTGCTTTCACACGGGACACCGGCCCCGCCCGGCTCGGACCCCCCGGCACCGCGGGCCAAGCCAAAAGGAAGCAACAATGAGTCTCTCCCCCGCCCAGCCCGCTCGCCCCGCCCCCTTACGCTCCGCCAATGGAATGAATGGAATATAAATACCCGCCAATGGG